AAGGAAGAGAGGGATTGGTGGAATAGTTCGTTGTATTGCTTGAGCCTCGTGGGCATATATATAGGAGTACAATGATCTACTTGGAGTACAAGACAAGCCAGAACAAATCCTAGTCTATCTCGTCTTTCCTAATAAACATTATACTCAACATCCCCCCGCAGTCACAACGGTAGCGACGCAGACAGTGAGACTGGAGAAGAATCCGAAGGCAAGCCGGCGGACACCCCCCCCACAGTCGTAACGGTCGACGCATCGCGGAGTCGTGGCTGGAGTGGCAACCGAAGAGGTTGCTCAAAGCAAGGCGATAGCCCTTTGTGCCGTTTGTCGAGGTAGCCGAGAGCGTGGGTGGTGGAGCCGTGGTCGAGGTAGCCGTGCGAAGAATACCGTAATCGATGTCGAGTCGGGGTAGCCGGTGTCGAGAAAGTCGCTGTGGAGCCGCGGGCGCAAGGAGGCGCCGAGTTAGTCGTGGGCGTAGTGGTGTCGAAGTAGTGGTGCGCCAGGAAGTAGATGATGTTGACGACGCGTCGCGCCGGGGTTGCCAACCCCGGGGACACATCACAGACGAAGGCATGCGTCGGCGTTGCCAGCACCGAGCATGCGTAGACGGACGAAGACGAAGTTGACGAAGCGCCGCACCAGGCTTGCCGGACCCGGGGACACGTCATGGACGAAGGCACGCGGCGGTGTTGCCAGCACCAGGCATGCGTAGACAGGGACCTGCATGAGCTGTACGCCATGTCGAAGAAGTCGGAGAGGCCAGCAGAGAAGGACTCGACGACGGTTGCGGCGCCAATCGACACGGGCCCAATGTCGCCCACGGTTGTCGGAGTAGATGAAACGGTCGGGGTAGATGACGACGACGCTGGCGACGGGCTGGTGCTGGACGAAGACGAAGGAGGTGGACGGGCGGCTGCGGCGGCTACGGGGATAGCGGCGGCGGCTACAAAAGAAGAGCGGCGGCGGCGGCCTGACGGGGGCGGCGGCGGCTAGGTTAGGAGCGCGGCAGCGGTGCTCGAAGTAGGCGAAGAACCCGACAGCGTGACGAAGACCGGCGCGGACGGTGGCGTTCCCGCGCCAAAGGAGGTGGTGCGGCGCATGCCACAGGAAGTCGACGCGCGGGGACGGCAGTGGACCGCGGGCCGCGGCGCTACGGCCCGAAGGGGAAACGCAACGGCGGCGGGCAGGTCGGGGCGATGATGGAAGACCTCGGGACGGTAGCAGGGACCGCGGGCCGCGGTGCTACAGCCCGAAGGGGCGGCACAGCGGCGGAGCGCGGGGTGGTGCAACCGCGTGGACGGTCTCGAGACGGCGGCGTTGACCGCGTGCCACACTCGCTACGGCCCGACGGGGCGACGCAGCGGCGGCGCGAGGGTCGGTGCAGCCACGGGGACGACCTGGAGCGGACGGCCTCGGGGCGGCGGTAGACCGCGGGCCGCGGCACTACGGCCCGAAGGGGCGACGCAGCGGTGACGCGGGTCGGTGCAGCCTAGAGAAGAACCACGGGGAGGCGGCGCTGCGGCCCAACAGGGCGACGCAGCGGCAGCCCGTTGCTCAATCGGTGGAGGGCGCGCTGAACTCGGAGATGATCTTCACGGGACCTGCGGAGGCGCCCGTAACTGACGGGCCAGGTCGGTCGCACGGCGTAGATGAGGCGGATCGCGGCGGCGAGCGGGTGACCAAGCCGATCGCGCGCGAGGTCGGGGACGCCGCTCGTTGGAGGCGTGGTGGCGGCGGAGTCCGAGATGAAGCCGGCGGCGGCGAGCGGCAGGGCGGCTATGATTGGGCGTCGCATGGCGCGAGGCCGCCGGGTCGGGGTCATGCAGGAGTCCCGGTCAGAGCAGGGCGGTGCCGGCCGGCGTAGATCGACAGGCGGGCCGGCGCGCGGACGACGGTCTTGAGGGCTGCCTGTCACGCGAGGCCGCCGGGTCGGTGAAGTAGCCGGCCGGTTGCACCGATGTCGGAGTAGAGGCACGAGGTGTCGACGGCGGCGGTGGGCGACGCAAACCGATCAAGAAAAGATCGGAAAACCAAAAAGTAGACGCCGATCAAAACGACCGGCAAGAGAGAAAAACCCCGGATCAAAGGACCGGGAAAAAGACTCTCTAGGGCAGCCGGCCAACACGGCCGGAGGACGAACCCTAGGTACGGGCGGCGCGGCCCCCGGCGGCGGTCATGGAGGCCGACCGCCCCAGGGGCGGCGCGCAAGTGCGGAAGCGGCGGCGGCTAGGGTTTAGGATCGACTTGCGATAGATACCATGTTGGAAGGGAGAGAGGGATTGGTGGAATAGTTCGTTGTATTGCTTGAGCCTCGTAAGCATATATATAGAAGTACAATGATCTACTTGGAGTACAAGACAAGTCAGAACAAATCCTAATCTATCTCGTCTTTCCTAATAAACATTATACTCAACAGCCCTACCAACTACCAAGCCCATTTGGCCCGAGCCAAACTAATGGGGAAAAATTGGGCCAGGACGGCGAAGCTTTGGATCTGCCCGGCCGGCATGTTTCCTTGGTCGTCGTTGCTGAAAGCTTATCAGTTTGTGGCGAGTGCGGTCGAGGCAGTAAACGACACGGGACGTTTTGGAGAACAGAGAGGAGGCCGCGCGCGGGAAGATCCTTGCGCGTGTGGCCAAACCGGCCGGCCGGCAGGCCAATGATTGTATTTCTCCCTCCGTCTCTTTCCCTCCGTTGTCTCAGCGGGTGACTGGCCGCAGTGTAGTTGGCTTTGGATGATGCAGGGCGAGCCTAGAGGACTCGAGCCTGAACCCACCCGGTGGCATGGTGCCGATACGTACGGCCGCGCACGCGTACCGTGTGGCTCGCGCCGTAACCCCATTCAGTTGATTGCATTGCAGCCCACCTTGCATCAGCGCGCACACGCTTTGTAATCTTGTCAGCTGGTACATGTATGGATGAAATGTTCCGAAGTGCGAAGGTATCAACGCAAAAGAACAGACAAACCTGGTGCCGTCTACTTCTTCTCGAGGTACTTAACAAATGCTCTGTTAGAACTCCCAGGTTTACCGGGCAGTTCAACGTTTTCGGGGTGGGCGTAGAACAACTTACCAAGCGGGTGGGTAAACGCATGAAAAGCACTACGTACTCCCTCCGTCCAGAAATACTTGTTGGAGGAATGGATGTATCTAGATGTATTTTAGTTCTAGATATATGTTTTTTTGAAACGAAGTTCTATATACATTCAATTTTATGCATTTTTCCGACAAGTATTTTCGGATGGAGGAAGTACAACCGAACAATCTCGTCAGCTGTAGAGTTTATCAAACATAACGCATGCCGGCATACGGTCGTTTGTGCGCAAATACTTAGCAGTTCTGCTTCAGTTCACGGTCGACATCCGTGTTTGCGAACCGTTGATGATGGATCGATGGATATTATTTGTGGCGCGGAGCAGGTGCAAAGCATGAGAGATTGAGAGCGTGACTGCATGCCAATTGGCGCACGCGGAGAGATGCGCAGCCGCCGGCCCCGGAGTCAAACGCTCGAGCGGTCAGGCAGGTACTCCCTCCGTTTCGGAATTACTTGTCACGAAAATGAATGTATCTAAACGTATTTTAGTTCTAGATACATCCATTTTCGAGACAAGTAATTCCGAACGGAGGGAGTATATCGTATATGCACGCTCGTACGTGTGCATCGTCTACTCTGGACTAACCAGCCAGCAGCTAACCCTGAACCCGTCAGCCAGGTATAGGAGCGTGCGTGTCCCGACCCTGACTGATGCTTTCTGTTCTCTCGGCTCCACGTGTACGTAAATGCGTTGAAAAAAACTTGATACACTCCATCCTTTACATAATTTTGACTGAGGTGAACTAGTATGCAGTGCGCGCGCATTAGT